GAGACGTGGTTCTATGTTCATTATTTGATGGGGAAGATTTGGCAGTCTTTGGTAATTCTGTGGGCTTTTTAGTTTGCAGTTTCGACCGAGCATTGGTGGATCTCGGTTCATCTACCTTGTTGTTGCTGTTTACATTCTGAAAGGTGAACTTTTCTCTCGGCGCCTTGCGCGGGCTAGTCGCAATGACACTGATCGGGGAAGAATTTGTGGGCGATTTCTTGGGAGTCCGTGGAGACGGGCTACCATCTTTTGTAGGAGTGCTCGGCTTACTATTGCTATACCCCTTGCTTTCGGGTTCTGGTGGAGTGGAAACTGATAATGATGGCCTGTTTCCCCTTCGGAATCTGGAGCTGTTGGTCGGTTCTAGTTTTGTGCCCGTTGATGTCTTGCTACTATTGTTGTTGCCACTAGGTGCCGAAACAGTCTTATTTCCCCTCTTGGTTTTTCCTTCAACTTTGGTCTCCACTGGACGGCGTTGGGCCTGCTTGTTGGGCTTTTCCACAGAGCCGAAACCGTTACTAGTCGTGGCAATATCTCGAGGAGTTGCCTTGCGCTTAAAGATGGATCGACTGGAGGGTGAATGAACTGGTGTGACATCGCCTTGGATCTGCAGTGGTGAGGGAGCTTTGCTATGGGTGGACAGCTCATTTTTGTTGAGATCGTGCTTGCCGGCATGAGTGGCGACGGGTTTGTGCAGGGTCGAGGTGGTTGTTTCTTCTGCTGTCGATGCTGTTGCCGCATTATTGTTGGCTCCTTCTTCTCCCGACTCTACCACTGAAGAATACGTGGACGCACCGGTGGAGGAAGCGGTGGAGGTGGAAGAACTGATGGGTGCGAAACTGTGATGTTGCTGTTGCTGCTGCCTAGTGGAAACTCCATGTGATCCACGACGTTTGAAGACCGAACGTTTGGCAGAGGGTGAATCCGCATGTACAACACTTCCTGGGACGCCATCAACCTCATCAGCCGTGGATGACGATGTCGACAAAGTATCCATTGTGGTGGGCCGTTGACGACTAAAGGGAGATCCCAACCTTGGTGGTGGGGGAGAACCCAACCTTGGTGGTGGTGGCGACAAGATTCGCCGCTGTCTCGTAATCGTATCCAACGAACTGGATGCAGTGGAGCCGGTTTCGCGGCTCATGGTGGTGGGAGTCTGCCGAGATTCCAAGATATCGTCAGAAGTGTACTCTGTAGCAGTACTAGTACCGGTAGCAGAGCCATGTTCTTCCTCTTCTTCCTCCAAGTCAATCTTTTCTCCCCCCAGCAAATCTCCCGTCTGTGTGTATTTGAGATGTAGCATGGGTGTATCTCTGAAGTCTTCTGTAACGCTGTATTTGAGATCCAGAGTAGTTTGACTTCGACCACCATCTTTACTTTCGTCTTCGACTTCCTTGGTATTAAAGTTAGTGTTGTTGCCGTGTGTGTCGCGGTCTCGAACTGGTGACCAGAATCGTTGGAGTGGCGACGAACAGTTGGGTCGAGTATTGTCGATATCATCGTGGGATGGACTGTCATCGGAACTGTCAGCATCTGTAGCATTACTCCTGGCTCTTGCAGTCGTAATAGCAGCAGCAGTAGTATTTTTGCCGTCTGATTCTTGAACATGCGTCGGTTTTCGTCGTTGCTTGAGCACGGCATGTGATCGACTTCGTTCCCAGGGTCCCAGATTGACTGGCATGAGCAAGATTTCTTCTTGGCTGTGTTCCAATCTCACAAGTACTTTGACCCTTTGCTGTTCGACCACGAATGCTCGTAGTCCCTTATAACTGCCCCCCACAACGCGTACCCCGTGTCCTGGTTCGAACGGACCCCTTTCGTACTTTTTAATAGCACCGCTGGTTGTCGAGATATCCATCCTTGGTGGAGATGTGACAGTGCGTGGTAACATTGTGTTGTTGTTGTTGTGGTTCGCTTCGATCATGGTCGGTGAGGTAATCGAGGAGACGTTCGAAAGCGACGGAGACAGGGACAAACTCTCGTGAGGCGGTCGTGCGCGCTCCTTAGTGCTTTTTTTATCATTCTTATTTCGTGGTTTGGCCTTTAATTTTCGAGTCCTTGCAGCAGCAGGAGAAGCGGATAAGAAGAGTGGCTTGATGTTCTTGGGTAGCAGGTATACGGAGGGTTTACAAGCCGTGTTCCCGTTCGCGCTGCCGCCCACGAGCTGCACGAGAAACTTCATGCGTTTTTGTTCCATTATCACTCCCGTCTCGCCTTGGTAGTCTCCACCAACTACCTTGACCATCTGACCAATGGCCAAGGAAGGAGACGCTGAAGCCGCCACAGGGCTCATTGGCCTAATGTTCTTCAAAGTGGCAGACATGGTGGTGCTCGCTATGAGACTCTACGTATTCCCGAGTTTGGCTCCAACACACTCCCTGATCCTGTCCAATGTATGCAATGATACAAGCACTGGTGATAATAGTCTATCGGATAACAGGGACGCAGCACGCCGCTGCGAATGCCATTTGCGTCAGGTCTTCCTTCACGTATCGATCGAATCAATCGTAAACCAAATAACGTGGAAGAGGCCACAATCGGCGAAATTGTGAGACGAGATTTTCGTTAAAACAGCTTTTGGCTTGAGGTGCGTTTGGATCCTAAGTAACATAAACTGGTTCACTTATTTAGACCACAACGACGCCAAGCACGACGCACGGCGATTGAAGCATTCCCGCAGAAACAGACGATTGATTCCTGAGAGCCCGCCTGCCCCACATCGGTATGAATTCTGCAGAGGAATCATTTGCATGCGGAAACCCAAGGAACTGCTACCAGGTACCGCTACCTACAGTGTAGCTAGGCATACGTTAACATTTACGTATGTACACAAGAACAACAACCAAGAAGCTCATCACTGCTTTGCTGCCAAGCGAGTTTGTTTTGGAGGCTCAGCTCAGCATGCTCGAATTTTCCTCCAGGAGGTATTCACTGATACTTGCTCTTCTGGACCAACCATTCCTTTGATGTGGCTGGATGTTGAACATGCTGCGATGCTTCAAGTGCTTCCATGTGCAGTTGTTGAGAACGCCAACCTTTTAAAATCAAATGAGGATGAAATGAAATGGAATCCAGCGACTTCCTCAACCAAGTCAGCATTTTAAAAGGGAACGTTTACATGTAGGCCTATGATCACATGAGAGGGGTTAGGTCACTTCGCTTCTTCGGAAGGAACCATCGTTTTTCAATTGATCTTCCTTGCATTGGGATGACTTGCCAAAACTACCATCTATTCCCAATCATACTGTACTGTACATGTACTGCACACTGCACCTAAGCTTGAGGTGAACGTTTGTCATGAAATTTTCCGACGAAACTGCCGATAAGAGACTTGCTTTATCCGGAACAATACTACCTGGTGTCAGAAGGGGTTCCCAACTTGCTCTATAGCCATCCCAAAAGAAAGTAAGTTTGATGAATTGCTTCAGAGGGATTACTGCTGGTTTTTGCGATTGCCGTTTATCTGTGAAGCGCCAAGTATCGTATCCGTAGCAAGCATACTCCTACCAGCTACAGTCCTCTTTTGATAGCTAGCTGAATGGTCGCAATATCCAGTACGATACTGGTTGCTTTGGTCAGGGCTTTGGTTCATGCACTTGCTGCATGGTTGCGCAGGCGAGCAGCACACCCAATCCAGAACCTCGTGTAATAAGGCTGAATTTTATTCGAAGGGGAAAAGATCACCGAAGTTCAAGAGAACCCCACGCAAAAGAAAGACTAGTATTCATCTTGTCGAGGAGGTTGCAGAGGTGGCGGCGGTAACCAATGGCAACCAAAGCCACCCGTGCGAAGCGACCAAGACCATACGACTGTTAGGCTGTACTGGAGACTACTTGAGTGCCAGTTCATCGAGCTAGCCAGAATGATGATGTATGTGTTCGCCTTCTCTCTTGGAGAGCACGGCTTCACTTGGTTGCGGCGTATGGCTGGCTCAAGAATACTTATCATGGACACAAACGCATCATGCATTAGGTGGATTGTGAGGACTGCTTCTCTTGCAACCTGATCAATTGCTTCGGGAAGCCCAAGGAAAAGCACTCGTTATTAGCCTGGGGAGCTGGGGAGCGAAATTTAGTTAATGGAGTTGTGAAAGATGTCTTGCTTTATCATGACAATACTATGAAGCTAGAGTAGAAAGAGAATGGTTGTATTGCATAAAGTACAGTGGCTGCTCAGTGCAGGCCCACGCAGGGCAGTAAAGAGTGGCACTGCTTGTCTGAACCAGGCCTGATAGCTACGCTGAGTTCAGCTGGAGGATTGATTGATGAACTTGACCACTCTATACCAGGTAGGGGGATGGGAAAATCTTGCAATAGCCCTGTATTGTAATGGAGTGTAACTTGCCAAACTCAGTTAAAAAGACGAAATTCGTATTTTTGCCAGAAGATAAATTTAATTGGATTGGATTGGATTGGATTGCATTGAATTGGATTGAATTGGATTGAATTGAATTGGATAAGAAATAGTACTGTTATTTATATAGTAAACTGTAATTCAATGCAATGCAATCTAATGCAATGCAATCCAATCTAATCCAATAGAGAAAAACAGCCAAAGTAAAAGATTGGCTTAGTGCACACAATTTTTACAAAAATAATCTAACAAATTCAACCCAGAGCCATGGGCAAGTTTGCTCATCCCCTAGCTAGGAACACGCAACCAAGTCTCATTCCAGCTCATTCCTGTAGCTTCTTCCTATGCTGGGGGGTGGCTCAAATCAACTTACATGTACCATTTCCGGCATCACCTTCCGCCACTTTTAGTGCATGGTTTACCACCTTCAACCGCTTTCGACCGCCTTCAACCACCTTGGACCGACTTCAACCACATTATTTACCACCTGTTTTCCCATCTTTTATCACCTTTTACCATCTTTGGTTACACTTACTTTACCGCCTATTACCACCTGCTACCAACCTCCACCGCTGTATCTTTTGGCGAAGAATGCGTGAAAACTCGAGTGAAGACAATAACAGTTGGTTTGAGCCACCCCCCTGTAGGTGGTGCTGAAACTGGTACGAAATTTCATGTAGCCATCCACAGCCACTTGAGAACTCTACAGGAGAAGCAATAACAAGCAACGAACGCGACGAATGACAAAACTGGCAGAGGAATAGCAGCTGGAATATAGCCCACATGCCGCATGCCGCCCACATCACCATAAACCAATATTTTGATATTTTGTACACCCTTGCAGTCGCTGTCTACGGCTGTCTTATGAGCACAATCCCTGTTGAAGCCAGAATAGGAGCGAAGCTGTTGCATGAGAACGCTCTGCGTAATTATTTATTTATTTGTAATTCATAGCTAATTCAATAATTCATCCACTTGGGAACTCTACTACAAAAGCGTCTGGCCCACAGCACACCGCGTGAGAAGCCCAAACAATGCTAATAAACTACTTTTGGACGGGGCGAACGGTGCGACACGTAGTAATTCGCCACCACGTGCAAGGCGAAACTGAAGAGTTAATGGTAAATCTCAACTATCGTTACCGCAGTAAACATGAATGATTGCATGGACAATACTCGAGAACACTTTTCTCAATAGTGGATCAGGCTGAAGCTGGCTGATTAAGTTTTCAAGTTTTCATCTTTCAAGTATGCTGAAAGCTCCAGAGTTTGACAGGATGTACAATTGCATGCGAAGCACTTGACGTTTCGGAGCTTTTTGGGATGAGGAATTCAGTGTTCACGTGCCAGGGGTGCCAGTTTTTTCCAGTGAGCACGCTTCCGCTTCTGGAGTTTCGAATTAAAAAAGTAATAGCCAACCGTACCGGTGGATGCATGCATCCCCATGTTTCAGTCAGTTTAGGTTGGGATCTGTAGCAATCTGTTCGCTCTTCTCACAAAACCAAGCACAATAGAAGTACAAACCAGTCAAAAAAGTGAAACTCCAGCCTAAACACTACAATGACGTTGTCCAACCAGATATGCATCGACTACAATGCGCAGGCCGTGGGTCTCGTGGCAGACTGCGAGTACGCGGAGGCTGCCAATATGCTCAAAGCTGCTCTACAGAACCTACATGCAAAGGGAGAGCGTCCGAACTTGACATACATTCACTCAACTACCGGTACTAGAGACGTCCACAGCGTTCGCCTGATGAGCAAGGAAGAGGCTCATCGGCTGTCCCCAAACAACTTGTTCCAACTGTATCCCTGCGCATTTGTCATGGATCCCGGGAGGTCTCACGAGATTTCCGAAACGACGTTGTCCATGGTGCTTCTCTACAATCTGGGATTGGCAACTCAGCTCGCAGCTTTGACAACTCACCGACAAGACGACTTGGTCATGCGACACGCCATTGACGTTTATGGCAATGTCACGAGTTTGATCCATCAAACTTTCTCCTCCAACCGCAAAGTCGCACAACAAGGCGGGGATCTTGTCTGGCTCCTATTGGCCATGGCCTGCAACACGGGACACATTCACTCACATCGACTTGACTTTTGTAACACGAGACAGACTCTGTCGTGGCTCAAGGGACTCATCTGTCTCCCCATGGCACGGCTATCAGTGCCCTCAGAAGACTTTCGTCTGTTTATTGAAAATGTTTGTACCTTTCTGGAGGGAAGGAATTTGAGTCTGGCACCAGCGGCATAGACAACATGAATTCCATTTAAGCTACTTGGATCTGACATCACTCTTTGTAAACAATCTATAGTTCCTTCTTCATACTTCTATACAAAAACACAACAAAACACTATAGTAATGCCATCATGTATGTAAGCTACCACCTAACAGGGGCATTCACAGCCACACAAGAGGTTTGTACAGTCAAAGAAAAGCCCGTAGTTTCCCTTACATGGAAACAAGGGGTTGACCTTGCAGGTGCTGTGGATGCTGCAGAGGGACTCGGGCCAGATACCGGAAAGCAGGGCATTCCCTTCCAAGTGCAATGTATGAAGAGAGTGTTGCAGTGTGGATAGCTCTTGAGGAACAGTCCTGATAGGGAGTTTTGGGAAAGATCCAGCAGGCTGGCACTGGTTAGCTTGCCGAATTCACTGGGAATTGGCCAGAGAGTTGGTTCTCCTCCAATTTCAACTTTTCTAAAGAAGTAAGCCTGGACAGCTCAGTTGGGATTGTACCCGAGAGGCTGTTGTTCTGAAGGGCAAGTCCCCGGGTTATCGATGTCAGATGGCCATATTCACTGGGAATGGAGCCATATAATAAACGATTACCACCAGCCTTGAACATTGTGAGTGATGTCAAGAGTCCAAACTCAGTGGGCAAACCCCCAACCAATGCGTTGCCAAACAACTCAATGAGCAAGGAAGAGCTCGCTTCGTTGTTTTTGTCCCATGCAATCCTATCTGCTGTGGTAGCTAGCTAGCCAGTGCCCAACCAACCCTTTTGCCCAACAGGAAGCAGCAGGCAGTCAACCCATCATTGGGAACAAGCAACCAAAGCAAGTGCAAGCAATTCCTATCAAGGGAACCTGGCTACCGGTAGCTAATAGCCAGCCAGCATAGCTAATAGCCAGGGCAAGCACCATGTAACCAGGAGAGGATTGAAATAGGTAAGTGATTGGACTTCACTGCAATGATCAATGTTCCATCTCCGAGAATGGAATCCGTTGGGATTATTGTTGGGAGCCCGTATCTTTGCGTCAGCAGATAGAATTAAGATTGCTTCCCGTCCTTAATCCCAATCTGCACCGTTAAAGCTTCCATCTCCCACAGACCAAAGCAACTTTCGTTGGATTCTTGGATTGTATTCGATTCGATTCAATTCTATCATTTGCCCCGTACCTTTCTGACTTCAACACAAGCAAATGCATTGATCGACGATAGAGGGGTGTTCCCAGTTCCCAAGCTTGGCCTTATTTTAGTGCTACCGGCAATGGCAGTTTGGGCTTGGCTCAATTCGGGAGGAACGATTGGTGGGTTTGTTCTTATATGCTTTCTTTGGTTGTGTTCATTGCGTTCATTTACCCTGCTACCGGTGCCCGCAATGGCAACGCGCGCCCCCAGCCTTTCTAGGAGTCCTCGTCCAGTAGAATTCTTGGGAAGCAAAACAGCACCTGTGAAGTTGTGAAGCACCAGCGGGGACAACAAAACAACATGGTCGCTCGCTCTAGCTAGATCGATCATCCTTTAGTCACTATATTTAGATCCTATTATTCGTCTTTACCCAAGACTCAACTCCTCCGCTACTATCCTCATCATCCAAACAGCAGCACCATGCCAGGCAATCGTGGCTGGTCCAGGAGAGCCCCCGAACACCTCGGGGACGATTCGTAGCATGAAGTGCCTAGCTAGCTGGTTTGTCACAAATACTATGGTACTGGAAAGGGAAAGCAATAGCAGCTGGTAGAGTACAACAGTGAGTAACAGGGCAGCTGGTCGTGCTTCAAGGCTTGGGCCTCTTGGAAATGTCATGAAGAACATAATATCTTTAATGTGTGACACAAGGCATGGAGATGCTAGACCCATCACCACGATCAGTCGATCGTCGGCCCTCGTTGCCTTTGGGGCGTTGGGCTGGGTGGATCGCCAGCCATGACATGTATCATGGAACCCGATGATCAGGGCCTGCAGGACATGTTGCGGGACAGGTTTCACACCCATCGTTGGTTCCTGGAGCGATTTCAGTCTGGAGGTAAGTTCTTTTATAAGCTACCGGTACAAACCAGCCTTTACCAATCGCCTGTCCACAAGCTTGCCCGGTCGTGTCAAGGGCATTCCATACTAGCTAGGGTACGCGACATACGAGTTCTTAGGAACGCGAGTGCGATTTGATTTGAAAGTGTGTTGTTCCTTGAAGAAGCAGCACAGCTGATCGACCACACAAGTACCTGGTACCATAGCTCTAGAGTAGACTACACAAATAAATCTGACTGATTTCGGGGGACGGCACCGTAAGGGTTCTACTGAAAGAGTAGACCGGAAAGGGAAAGCAATAGCAGCTGGTAGAGTACCGGTACTACGTACCACAGGGAGTCACAGGGCAGCTGGTCGTGCTTCAAGGCTTGGGGATCTGTGCAACGACAAAAACCATGGTCTACAACATCCTTTAGCTTTTCCGTACAGTAGTAACTAGGGACGCCGTGCTTTAGTCATACGATTTTAGTTTCGACTCTGATTTTGCCATCTGGGCCTGGCCCTCGCCGTCGCTGGCTTCCGTAGATAGCTTACCGTACCATACCTACTCACTCTAGATTCCAAGCTTTGTCAGCGTTCTGCTGCGGGAGCCCAACCGAATCTCCTTGCTTGCCAATAATTTACCGGCACGGATGGTCTTGTTTCGTAGCAATCAAGCTATATGTGCTTCATGGCCTCCTGGGCGCTACGGTACAGATGGTCTTGCGAGGGAAAAGAGCCAAGGACGAGATTCGTGGCTCAGGAACCTCCCTACATTGTGCTACGGTCCAGATCTTTTGTTCCTGATTTGCTTTGGTGTGCTGCTACCTGGTACCGGTAGCCACAGCTAAACAGTAGCTGGCCAGCACCAAACCTTTGCTTCGCCGTGGTGTCCTCGGTCCAGCAGATCTTTTGTTCCTGTAACTTGTTCCACCCACCAGATCTTTTGTTCCTGTTTTGCTTTGGAACAAACAAGTGTGGCTGGACAGCTGGGGGAAGGAGAAAATCAATGTCATTCCCCGCTCCACAGCTAAAAACAGCTACTGTAGCTAGACACCAGTAGTGCTTTCAAGGACTGCTGACCACTGTTTCCAGGTCATTTCAACACTTTTCAGCACTGTCATAAAGAGTTGTTGACTGTTGACTTGTCCCATGGTTGATGGTTTACCCCTGTCAACTGTCAACCAATGTCTGGGAGCTTGTCTGGGAAGGGATTTACACCTACTAGCTAGTACAGTATGATTGGTCTGGGAATGACCGAAACGCAACACCTTTTAAATCTTTTGGATAAATGTTTTTAAAGTAAAGGACTGCAAATTGTTTATGTCCACTCTCGTACCGGTACTGAAAATCCTTTGAGTTATTATTATTACTATTATACTCGTCTTGTCGCCTAAATCATGTCCTTTTAAGTGAGACTTCAGATTGAGTATAATGTTAAAGCACATGACATTTCAAAGGATGAACTTGAAATGGTGGTTTTATGGTCCAAAAAGAGGCTGTTAATTACGTGGTTATGGGATTGATGGGATTTCACTCGATGCGATTACTCCACCCCCCGGAACGGTACGGTACCGGTACGCAGAGCTCAGATATCTTGAGAGGCTTCGGCGCGATTTGTGTAACCACTAAAGCGGCAAAATGACTATTTGTAACTCCGTACGTAACAAAGCTTTAAAGGGACAGTGCATGTCGTAGATGTACGCATAGAGTAGATGGCACCCATCTGTTTTACTGTAATCGTGGTAATTCAAGTATGACATGTATTTAAGCACCCTTTTCGACAGAACTGCTCCTGGCATTTGGCCTTTGGCCTTCGCTTGGGGCGGCAACTGTGGTCGGTGCGGGAAGCTCTGACCGCGGGAATTGATTCGAATGGAATCCAAAAACAATCAACTGCTGCCGCAAACCCAAAAGCTCACAAATCCGGCAATCGGTGTACAAAACAAGCCTTTGCTAAACAAGCCTTTGCTCGAACACCCACAACTTTTCGACCAAGATGATGAAAGATTTTGACGTAAGCAACGGAGCTCCATGACTGGTTGACCTGAGTTTTACGGTACTTCGCACTATGATCTAACCATTCTTTTGTTCTTGTGTGTCCTCCCAGGCGCTTCTCCGTGCTTTGAGTTTTCAGGAAACCCTTGCGATTTATTTGATCATCTACATCGGTGGTCATTTCATGGCGCTTTACTTTCGGTACTCTTGAAGTTCATTGGGACATGAGTGGAGTGCATACCTTGCGAACAGGGGCGGAGTGTCGGGCGGGCAATCGTTCTATGTTCGGTAACAAGCTTGGAAACCTCCACCAACACCAGTGGGGATAACAACAACATCCTTTAGTTACTATACTATTAATCCCCATCATTGGTTCACCTCGGAATCTTAGTTCTCGTGTGTCGATGGTGCTGGCCCATCATGATACCGTACGTAGCTTCGTGGCATACGGTACCGTATCTCCGTGTCAATAGTACCGGCATAAATTGACTTGTTTCGTAGCTGTAGCCTATCTAGCTAGATAATATCAAGTTCCAATGCACGTGTGCTTGTTCATGGCCTATCTCCTTCCCGCTAGTACTGCACAGATGAATTTTCACAGCAGCACCGTAGTGACAGCACGATTGGCTCCCATGGCTACCAGCCTGGTAGCTAGGGTACTCCACAGCCAGCCACAATGGAGATATGAAAGATACAATAGGTACACTGTGTAACGTACCCCATGGTGGAACAATACAGTACGAACGAACCATAAAAGTAGGCTTGGACGACCGTGACCGAATGAGAGTGGTGGTCGAGTGCTTGGACGACCGCGTGATCGGGTGTGGTAGATCCGGTACGATGTACCGCACCGTACCGGTACGGTACCGGTACATTGCCATCTCCAACAAAGACGGCAATGTTTGAAAACGAGTACGTGGGCCTCTTTGTATTGGACGGAAGCTTGAGTACAAGTCCTGATCATTACCACAATGCAAGAACTAGAGCAATTGGGTTCAACGAACGAATTGACTACATCATCTTCTCGTGCACTGCCAGGAATTTTCTAGATCCTGGAAGCTGTCCAGTGGAAGACATGAAAAAGTGCATGAAAGATTTGAGTGACGTTATCGCCGCAGTGATTGACTTGGGGCCACTGTCAAGGACCAATACGCTCGAACAATTCATCCAGAAACTCCTTGTCGACAGGGAATCGGCTCAGTTGATCTGCGATACTGCTGCTACGGGAGACGCTCAAGGCACACTCAATCTACTACAAGCGGAGATCGCATCAGCACTGGTGTCAAACTGGAAAGATTCCAATGACGGAAACAGGTCGCAGCCAACGTACACCCCCCTTGAGCTTGGTGATCCGACCGTCACTTTATACGGGAATCCAGAGTACTTCATATTGAATGCAGCGAATCAAATCTCTATTCAGATGGTTCGAGGACAGGATCGTTCCGGTCCAATCTACGATGACGACAGGCTGGTGAAAGAGACAATGGAAATCAATGAACGATACAACGGCGCGGGGTCCGAGGAACCGGGAAGACAGTTCTTGACCGAGTATCTGTTCGGCTACTTCTGGCCCAAGTCCTCTCCAATGCCACCACTTGGCAACCCCTTTACTTCAGGTGCGTCTGATCTCGTGCAGGTCTACGGATCGCGCAATCATTTGCATCCATGCAGCTTTTGTGCGTGCGCGGCAACTCATCTCACTTTTGATAAATTTCGCTGCTACGGTACAGGCATAATCGCAGGCATGTTGTATGATCCCCGCACTCCTTATACATGGACACAAGAAATGAAGGTTGGGTTCCCCATCACTCATTTATTGACATCTCAGTCCACTGGGCATACCCTTGCTGCATCAGACCCCGATTGCCACAGGCTCATTGAACAGTACTTCCAAGTTGGTTACCCAACATTTACAGATGGGCAAGGTAGGCAATGCTTTTTTATTCAATTATGCCACCGTAGAAAGATCTCACCTTGCGATGCATGTGTTTTCTCGTTCTCTGTATTTTCTTTAGTCTGTGAGTTTGGTTTTGCGGATGACACTGACCTTTCCTACGTTTTCACTGCATGAGCAGAGCCGCGTAGAGAGGTATCTTCGCCGGAGCCTCTTCGGCCGGATCTCGGTGATCCGACAGAGTCAACTTTCCTATACCGGTACCAGGGTCCAGTGCGTTGATAATCCTAGACCAAAAGGACCGGAGCAACAGCTGGGCTTGCCGAAGGTCCATGCCCCTCGATCCAGCCCAAAAGCACGATGGCCCTCTCCGTACTTACTCGACCTACCGTACTTCTAGTAGTACTTTCAGACTGAGGCAGGAGTAGGATTTTCCCATGGGATGAAAACTACCGGTATGGTCGAAAGTTGCTGAAGAGTGCTACAGTAACATCATCTTTTACACGATTGGTAGAAGATATCGGAACATCCATATTGCCGATCCCAAAAAGACACGTTGGTCCGTAGAGATTCCATGATACCAGGGCATCCTAGCTGCATGGTTATGGTTCACATCTCTCTTCGTCGTGAATAATCGCCGTAACGGAAGCAATGAAGATTGAAGTGGTTCCGTCGGATGATGAGGTTGTAGATTGCTTGCATCTTTTCCGTCTTGTTCGGTTCCAAGGCAAATTCCACGATATCCTCGAATGTGAATCAAGGGTGTGAACAAGGACATGGCAATGCAAAACACGGCCATGACGTGAAAGGCTTCCAGGTCGGAAAAAGCATTCCGAAAGACGTTGCTGAGGACGATCGCTCCCACGTTCCCTCCTGCTCCAACAATACCACCAATGGTGCCCGTGTTGGCGGGGTCGATGTATGGCACAATGGCCATGCAAGTTCCCAAGGACATTTGTCCTAGAATGGCAAATGAAATCATGGCCAGCAATGTGGTGGGCAAGGTTGTCGTGTAACAAAAGGCCAAAATCATGCCTGCCTCCAAGACCATGAGTGTCCAATGAACGGAAAGTCTTCCTCGTAGACTGTCGCGTTGATGCATTTGATCCGAGATCCACCCTCCCAGTCCTCTTGCAAAAAAGTTCATGAGTCCAAAGAGACTGGCCAAGGAAGACGCATGCGCCAGCGAGAGATCGAATCGTTCGGCCAAATGTGCTGATATCCCCGATTCTGTGGTCAATTCAATGCCCAACCCCGCGGCAAATCTAACCGGTAAAGTAATGACATCAGGAATGCAACAAAATTGAGGATTGAGGTGTTTTTGCATTGATCGTTGCCTTGCTTAGCTCTATCGTGTGCTGTCTCACTTACTGGAAAAAGAGCAACCACGCATTGAGATTGATGGCTCCTGCTCCAAAGGAATCAGCGGCAGACCGTGCTTGCAATAGTCCTGCCTTTTGTACTTGTTGTATGCTACCCAAGGGTGTATCATCGGCATACCGATAGGATAGACATGAAATGACAAGTGCAATGACGGCTGGTACAAGCAACGCCACCCTCCAAGCCAAATCTTCATTATCATCCAACCAGTGCAAGCAGATTGGGAAGACAATGTATCCCATGAACACAAGTGCCATGGCTCCTCCCGTGGCGCCCCATCCAACCACCAGTGCCATGTAGTCCCGCAAATTTCGGGTACAAACTGTGCCGTGATCCAATACTGTGTCGGGACGAGGGTCCCAGCCACACATCCCACCAAGGCTCGCAAGGTGGTGAAACTGTGCCGTGTCAGGAACCCAATACTCCCGCCCAAAATGGCACACACCCCTAGAACACTGGTGAGGACAATTAATTTTGCCTCCGTACTGATCACAGAGCGGCCCCAGTGCCAGTCGTAGTACGACGGAGCCCGCCATGCTCCACATGGTCGACGTCCACAAATCTTGTTTGGTAATGACAACATCGGGAGGAGAGGAGAGCGACGTTTGAATATACGGCAGTAGCGGGGTGACACTAAACCAGAGCAACCAAACGGACCATAAACACAACCAAGCACAACGAAAGGCGCTCATATGGGGACGTTGGAAAGACAGCAGGCGCACTTGGGTTGCTCGGCTTGTTGGGATTCACTGGAACGGAAAAGTTCTGGACGCGTTGCAAATGTGATTGTCAGAGTGCCGTGGAATCTGCAAAGTCGTCATTGCTGTCATTGTCACTGCCAAGAGAACCAATTGGCTTTTCTAATTCTTTGGTCTTGTGGTACAGAGTCATCAAGCCTGTTTCAGCAGTCCCTCTATCGTCATTCAAGTCGATCCAAGCGTCATTGTCGTCGTGAGAACAAACTTTCCAAGAAACTTGAAACTCTTGAAACTCATCCATCGAACCATAAGACGTCGCTGGAGTCGAAGATATACTGCTAGTAGCATCTGTACCACCAAAACCTGAGGAGGAAGAACCAAGGGGAGGCGTCATGGTCGCACTGTCGACAGCAACACCATGCAACAAACTTTCGATCCTCTTCTTCCAATTGCAAGATTGTGCAAAAGGCTTCGAAACTGGGGTGAGAACGAAATCCACCTGAGTCACGGTTGCTATCCACGTCATCATTCAAGGTCCGTACTTCGTGCGTGTTCGAATTCGCAAAACTGAAAAAGATAGCAAGGCTGCTGAACCACAGCTAGCCTACCGCAATGGCACCGGTATACATGGAGCAAAAATGGGGTTCGAAGAATGAAAGGAACGTCGAGATCCGGATCTAGCTAGCAATAGCTAGGGTCCAGTCTCTGATAGGTCGGAGGGAAGACGTCCCAAGTCGGTGAAAGACCTGAAGAAAAAAGAGTTGATCTACCGTATGGTTGATCGAGAGTTGACTCGAGACAAGACCAGACAATCGAGGAGCCAAGATGGTCAAGTTCCAGATCTCGAAAAGCTCCGTCCGGCATGGACCACGTCGAAGCAAGATCTTGAGATGGAAGCGGATGCAGGGTCGCCATTCACAATGAATGATCTGCGCGATAATCATGGCTTTTGCAAGAGTACAGAGCCATGCAGTGACTGCTCGTACTGAAACTGGGGAATATTAATCGTGAGGTACGGTACTATCGTGTTGAAATCGCCCGTGCATTCCAACTTAATTCATTCGATTGAAGGATTCGATTCAAATCATTACGAATCGAATCAAGCCAAGTTAATTGCCATTGCAACACTCATCCCGTGATTCGCACCAGTCAGTGAGCAATTCCGAGTAATCCCGTTGACAGAGTTCAAGGGGAAAGTGTTTCTGGAAGCCATTGTCCACCAAAAGCAGCGCATGGAGACTTGTGATCTGACCAAGTTCCGACGGTATCGATCCAGTGAACTGGTTGTTGGTCAAGTAGAGTGTTTCCAGAGCTGACATCCGTCCCAACTCGGTCGGCGCGGTATTGCTCAATCGATTTCGTCTCAAATGCAGGTCTGTCAACCTCGATAGATTCCCAATCTCACTGGGGATCGCACCCATCCAGCCATTCCTTTCGGCATCCAAAACCTCGAGGGCCGCCATCAAACCAACCTCGGTGGGAATCGTCAGCGCGTGCTCCGAACTGTCGTTGGTGCCCTTTCGGTTCAAGTTCACCAGGTTCAAATGTCGCAGGTTGGTCAATTTTGCCAGTTCCGAGCTAAAACCAGGGTAGCTCATTTCGTTGTCACCGAGACCCAGATCCACCAAATTGGTCAAGAGGCCCAATTCCGAGGGGACGCTCGTTAAGCTATTCAAACGTAGACCCAGATTCTTGAGTGACGTGACGAGGCCAACCTCGGACGGTATCGGCCCAGATAGTTTATTGTCGAATAGCTCCAATGCACGAAGCCGTGACAGCTGCTGGATTGCTGTCGAAATGGTTCCGGTAAGAGAGTTTTCCTGGAGCCACAACACACGAAGATTCGTCCAATCCCATAGCTCGGGAGGTAGGCTTCCTTCCAGACGACAATTTGTGCAGTGGATTGCCTCCAAGGACTGAAACCCCTCTGGCATGTGGATTATTGGCAGCAGATCTGTCAAGTTTGTTTGCAGCACATTGTCTGACAAGTCCAATCCTTGCAGGCTCCCAAGCAACGATAGCTCTATTGGAACTGACCCTTTCATACCGCCTTGTTCTGTCACGGAAATGAGTCTCACAATGTCATCATCATTGCAAATCACATGATGATTGTCAGTTGTTTTTGGAAGGTAGACCCCCCACTCGCACTCATTGGTTTCATAGCTAAGCCACTCATTCTGTGTGAGAGGATCTTTGAACCTCCACTTGGGGCCGTTAAATGAATAGTAAAAGGTGGCCAAGGCAAATCTCTGTTCTTTTTGCCAGGTTTCGTACAAGTGTAGGTTGGGATCCAGAGTCAGCCAGTTGTAGGCTTTGTATTGAGGTGAATCTAGATTGTCTTGGATGGAATCCCAGGTGGAATTAGGGGCATTGGGGAGCAGTGCCTTGTCGATGGATAGTTCTTGTGAGTTTTCCAATGACGGAGGACTCTCCTCTTTTCCTCCTCCCACGGAAAGTGGAATTACAATAGCCAGAATGATGATCACAACCAACAACAAACATCCCATGGCAGCCGCAGCAATCAGCTTTCGACTCCTGCTTGGTTTCTGCTTCTCCTCCAGAGGAATAATGGAATCTGTTGGTTGCTGCTGAGCTTCCTCATTGGTGATAACTCCTTGTTTTTGTTGTTCTGCTCTTGCTCGTGCTTCCTCCTCCTCCTCGCCGGGATGATGTGAGGATGTTCCCAGCAAATCCAATCTGACAGGTTTCACAGCTTCATACTTGGCCCCAACTGCCCCCGAGTAGGCACCAGGAGTGAGAGAGCCGGGTGGTAGGCTGTGCTTGGATGAGGGACGCCCAGTCTCATTGTCGTATTCCATTGGATTGTCCTCAATGGGATTGGCATCAACCTTTTCGGACACATCATAGTCATAGTCACCACCAGGATTGCCAGGATTCAGAAGAATTTGTTTTTTGGCCAAGTCAGCCTCTTCTCTGCTGGCAGCGGAAGATCGCTTAGCTACAATGCTCAGCAAGGCAAGCTCGTCTTTTTGCCTTTGATCGTCAGCTTGGGTAGTGTTCGTACCGACTGCTTTAGTGGCAGCAGTATCAGGTGCTTTCTTCCTTGTATTGGCATATGGACGTCTAACAACTGCAGGTGCCGGAACTGCACCAATATCGTCAATATTGTTTCTTTTTTCTGCTGCTCGTCTGAGCAGTTCTTCCTGCTTAATGTCTTCTGCAGTCTTGGTGGCTATTGTGGCAGTTTGGCTTCGTTCCAGGACAAGCTGACCCAAGGAGAGATCACGTTCCAAGGCGGCCTCTTCTTGGCTTTTGGGTTGGGAGTGACGGGAGGTAGAGGACATGGCGTACAGCTGAGAGATTGTTCCTCTTTATCTATGTATCATATTATGTAGTGATCCCACTGCTTTTTTGTTTGGATGGCGATCATCAATAGTTCCCCGGCTGGCTTCCGTAGATAGTTTCCCTACTCTAATAAACCCCAGAATAGTTCCGCTTTTACGTACCATCACGGAACCGGCTAATTCTCTCACCGCAAACCATGAAAATTAATGGAAAATCGGGCCATCCCTACCGGTATGTATGATACTATCTACAACAATGTCATGTACTCGAGTATGCAGTTGCAGGAGCATTCACAGCTCTAGCTAGTAGTAGCAGAGCACGCTATCTAGCAACGGTAGGACTATAGACGAATAGAATATGGCAGGGAAACAATTCTGGCATATGGTGAGTTTCGAAGAGGTTGTGATCTTTGGATATCATGGTTTATTCTGCTTGGCTGTGCTCCAGGAATTGCATAGTTATGAATGGATTGCACATCCTTATTATTACTAGCCATGGACCTTATTATTACTAGCCATGGATGGAAGTAGGTTTTTCAGGTAGATTGGTGTTGGTTTTGGCCTCCTTACAAAAACCGTCACCCTTTCGTCAATTGCCATGGAAGAGATCAAGGGCACCACAGTCATCCCAACACTTGGAAACCTTGAGAGCTGGGACATGGGAGCCTCTAAGACACAGAGTTTTGGAAGGGCAAGAGCTATGCTCAACCTGGCAGAGATGAAAGAGCTAACCACAGAGAAGGGCTTGGACCACTTGTGAGCCAAAAGCTGGGAGAGCTGTTGGAGAACAGCTGTAGATTTGGCAGCAAAGAGGCCGTCAGCAGAAACAACAAAGGGGGTGAAGTGGTGTAATCTCAGAGCGTATTGGGCTTATTAACCGAGGATTTACGCAATTTCAGCCTGATGGTGCAATTTCAGTTCGATGGCTTAAATTGCACTCACACACTTTTAAATCACACTCTTTCAAAAGATGAGGCTGAGATTTATTAACAATTGAATTTATGTAGTGAATCGGGTTTACTATGGATTAGAGAGAGCTAAGATGAGGATGGAGACAGAGGTCAAGGGGGGCACCACGCAGGATTGCAAGGCAGGCAATCAAGTGAGCAAGCAGGGCAACATGGAAACCAAGGATAGGGGTGAAGGCAGGAGGGCAGGGAGGAGCAAAGGAGCAAGACTATCGGAAGAGATTATGCAGTCTCTTGCCAAGGCCAAAGCCTTTGCTGAGATTCTCTCTTTCGTCATACAACGTGCAACTCACTCCACAACCGCATTGAGAATGGGGTCATCAAGCAAGACGGTTCAGGCACTACTAGCTCTAGTACTGTAGGAAGCACGATCGATGACCACCAATGAAAGAAGGGGTGGGTCAAGGGTCAAGGCACAGCTCGGATCTTGAAGTAAACAAAAATGGTTGAATTACTCCACGAACATAACGTAGACTAATAAAGCATGAATATATCAATGTACACACCTCCCCGGCTTGTGGGGAACAGGCTAGGCTGGCATTTACTGTGCCCTCTGAACGAACCCACGTGTTATGCAGAGAGTCACGAGTCGAGTCGAGTCCAGGTTTATTTGAAATGGACATGCGATGCATGTTCTTCTAACGTCTTGTCCTGACGTCCTGATGACATCTATGCATAACACTCTGGCCACGGGGTACCTGTGGCAATCATGACAAGTCGTGATGCAACACCCTTGCTAGAATTTTCGGATCGAGAAGAAGTTTTGAGCATAGGTATGTAAACTGCATTTTACTAGTAAATTGCAGGATCGCTTAACTTTGTTCCACATGGAAGCAAGCTGAGATCCCACCGGCAAAGACTCGACTCAACTGGCTAGAACCTGGACCAGCAGTAGCAGCAGCAGCAACAAGACTATAAATGGAAACACTGTTACTGCACCCATCACTGATGCTACTAGTATTTCCACTCAGCCTTTGTTGGTCACTTCCTCACTAGCTTAAAGACCTTCTTATCAGCAAGCACTCCATTCCACCGTCCTGTATTGTCTTTTGTATTGGGCTATAGCTCAGCCAATAGATCAAACGCAAGCAAAGTAAAGGAGATTCTTATTGCTTGTCTGCCCAGTCAACTGCCTCGTAGTGACTTTTGTGTTGGGCTATTAGTGTTAATAGCTCGGCCAATAGATCCAAGCCGAGCAACCTATTGGAAAGACAGCACTGATAAAACATGGAGGTCGCAACACAGCAGAATAGCAGGAAACGCAAACCAGAATGCGAGGATAGAGACTTCTCCTTAACTCAGTCAGACATTGAGCAAGAGCATTTTGGCATTCTCGTTGAAAACAAGAGAGCACCTGAACACTTGATCCCAAAACTTCGGGATATCGTGAGTGATAGTGAGCTTAAATCTTTTGCTGATAATCATGCTACATTGAACAAGCCTTCTCTTAAGCATGAAATTGCATGGTGGAAAGAGGAGCTGGAGAGTGCAACTACTCCCCAGGAAAGGAAGAAAGCAGAAAATGAACTCTACAACAAGCAGTGGTCACTGGAACATAGACTTCTCCTTGCTCGAGAGGAAAGGTGTCTTGAGCACCCTATGCTAATTGAGTTTTTTGCCTTTTTGCAAAAAAGGAAGTTTCCGTGGCAATGGGATGTTGGTATTTTTGTTGGTGTGAATGAATTCAGAATCATAAATGTAGAGGAAGACTATATCAAGAAACTACTCACTAAAGAAGCCATGAACTCCCGGAAATACAGAAGTGGTGCTCAAATCCAACCAAGCAATTCTGATTTCATTGTTGACATGGAGGAGACCAGCTATAGCCACATCATGAAATCCTCTGTTGGACGCAAATTCATCCTCATTGAGCAGAGTGGTCGGAAAACAAGCATATCCTACCGATGGGCAAAGATTCAGGTTCCAAAAGATGTGGTAAAAGAGGCAGAGAAAACACCAGGCAAACCCATTTTATTACCTGCCTGCAGCCATGCTGTGGTGGAGGGTAACAACAATATACCATCAGGTATGTTCCCCCATTGCAAGTTCAACCATATAGAATGCAGATGTTTCCCTGCAAAGGAAGGCAGATGTTTTGACTTTTCCATTGCCAATGGACTAAATGCAGTTGGCCATGTTGCAGAAGCTGAAACTTTTGTGGGCTTGGTCACCAAGGACAAGTCGATTTATGGGATGCAAAAGAAAAAACAGAAGGCCCAATTCAAGAAGCTTCTTCACGATACTTTGCTGGGATGGAAGAAGAATGCCAAAGGTGACCCGAAATTTTCATCTGTGAAAATAAGAAGTCAAATCAAGAATTACGATCCACTCCAAAACAATGATGACAAGTCAAAGAATCCTATTGTGGCTGAGATTTGGGGCAAACGTCACAACATCAGAAAGAAAGGAAAGGTAGAGAATGTGGCACTTAACCACATTGTTTGTTTTGTGGGAGACCTTGTTTATGACCCAAACTGGAAAGAGGCTTTACCACTCAGCCAAGAATCCCTGAACTGCATTTGCAAAGCTCTTTCCCCAGATGGAAGGAACTTCACTGCTGCAAGTTATGGTGGAACCTTTTGGCACTGGGAAATTGATTTGTGTTTGGCAGTGTGAAGCTGCTTTTGGTGTGTTTGGAATTGTGCTTAAGCTTGCAATTGTGGTTTGGCTGTCTGTTTCACCAATTCCGCCATGGCATGGTCAAGTTTGGGGTGTGCTTTGAGGCCACCAGTGTGGTTTGCCAATATTGGTTGGAGCATGGCAAGCCTCTGATTCACCTACTTGCTGGGATTAGTCTTAGGATCTGGTCGTCAATGGGTCATGATATGCTCCACGCTGAGCCGATCACGACGAAACTTGAGCTACCGCTACTGGAGTGCGGCTTGCAGGATGGTTATGTTGATACAGAGGATGTATGGCAGTACTGGTAGCAGTAGTAGTAGTATCAATATCAGTAGCCACTGTAGAGAGGAGTTGCCGATGTCTCCGCTGTAAACCGAATCGAGATGTCAAACAGAACAAGCTCGCTGCGGCAAAGCCAGATGGAGCCCATTCAGGGCCAGTTCTTGAGTATTCATTTGAGGATGATGATCAAGAGGTGTTTGGAGAGGAGTATTGGCTAGAAGATGACACGCCCCTCGTGATGGAGCTTGGAAGAGAAATGGAACCGGCAATGACTTGTGCATTTATTTAGAGAGTCCTGAAAATGACGTCTCCTAATTCTCTCACCGCACTCCTTGGAATGGAAAATCAGATCGTCCCTGTGCTTTGTGCTATCTACATGTATGTAGTTGTAGATTGCAGGAGCATTCACAGCTCTACTAGTAGAGCAAGGTAATAGCTAGCAACGGTAGGACATATGGACAAATAGAATATGGTACAGTAGTGAAACAATTCTGGCATAAGGTCAGTTTGGAAGAGGTTGTGATGGTTGGATATCATGGTTTATTCTGCTTGGCTGTGCTCCAGCTGCAGGAATTGCATAGTTATGAATGGATTGCATCCTTATTAGCCATGGATGGAAGTAGGTTTTTGAGGTAGATTGGTGTTGGCTTTGGCCTACTTACTACGAATTCCCTTCGTCAATTGCCAAGATAAATGTTGGCACTTTTCCGGTTATATATTGGAGCTCCCCTATATCAGTGGAGGTTTAGATACTGATTCACCAATATTATGGTATCGCCTCACCGCGCTACAATGAATGAAACATACAGCTTGCATGATGGCTGGCTAATCCAGTCTCTTATTGTTGTCGACTGTGGTGGACCTGATGGTGGTGCTGGTCCAAGAGGCATACCCATTCCGCAAACGTGGACTGCATTGGAGTGCCAGGATCCCCATCCATCCCCCGATGGTCCCCAGGACAAATCCGTAGGTACTCCCCAGCATGATGGGAAGAGGCCACCGTTGAATTTGACTGCCCCAATCGTACAATCGTAGTATTTGAAAGGGGATGGTGACAAATAGCAAAGCGTGGGTCTGACAGGTGGCCAGTAAGTGACGGTGGAAGTGGACCATGGCAGATTCGTCGTGAGTCTTTTTGGTAGCAAGCAAGGGTAGAGCCAATCTGGATTCCCACCAGGATACCCCCGGTGAGATGGCAGTGCTACTTCCATTATTTGTGGTGGTAAGAAGGATCGCGAGAGAGGATATGTAGAGACACGCCAACTCGGTATGATACAAGTGCTCTGTGGGACTGGCTCCGCACACAATGGCAATGGCAAAAAAGGCAGATGCGGCAGATATCCAATGGATCAATAAACTAAGCAATGTTCCACCGTTTGTCATGGCGGATACCCAACTGGCGACCGATACAACCGCCACATAGACCGTCAGTCGATCCAGTTCCAACGGAACCAAGACAATGTCAGTCGGATCCATGTGTTTCTTAAAACAAATAAAAGAAGAGAGTCAGATCAGACTTCAGAACTACATGTGAAGGCAACATCTACAGTGGCCACAACATTGGAGTCGTACCATTTCAATGGCTTGAATGTGAAGCTGACCCATCAGATACTGAAACAGCAACACTAGAAGACCAGCGGTAATACCTAGAGACTTGACCGCTACAGGGAATAGGCTGCTAGTACTCGTCATCGTAGCGTTTCACTTCTATGATGCTTCAAAGACACACATCCATCCACGAAGCTGTCGCCGTCTCAAAAGAAATGAGATCTCGTCCATTCGTTGATTTGGCTGTTTCCTGTCCTGTAACTGGAAGCCAGCTAAGCTTCTTGTGATAATAGTTCCAAACCTGGGTCACGAAAGGGTCTGCAAAGATTCGGCGAGCACCGGGACCAAATGGATTTAAGAAAAGGTTGACGTATCCACGAATGAAGCTCGAGGTGCTGCCAAGCCCCTCACTCAATTGCTTCCAACGGCAACGCACCGTTCCTCGTCCTCATTTATCTTTTCTTCCTTGACAGCCGCATGCAACAGCTTATTCTCGTATACAGTCTCCCCATCTCATCTCAACCAAACCTAGCTAGCAAATAAACAGTCACAGCATGTCCTCTCCTACCCATGCTGGCGAAAAGCAACCCTTGCTTCCACGACGTGGTCTTGGCCATACCCAAACTGCGACGGATCACAGCAATCGCATTCTGTTTCCAAAACAAGCCCGAGCTCGCAAAGCGGTGGCCGAATTTCGAAAAAAGACACGTCCGCCAACTCCGTGGGAAGGCCGTGTGGGAATGCACTTGCCCGTGGATGAAATTGATATCGAACAAGTGGCGCAGTCCGTGACAGGCTGGAACGCATTGTCGGAATTTGAAGTCGTGCGATTGTTTCCCGATACTACAACTACGAGTAGTAGTACTACGCAACAACCACAACCACCACAACACGGAGAGGGAGAAGAAATGCCCGAGATTTTCGTCTTTTCGTTTGGCGCTTGCATCTTTTGGAACTTTCCCAATGAAGCTGCGGAAAAAGAATGGATCTCGCAAACACTTTTGCAAGAACTCAACGAGTGTTGTGGAGATTCCTACAAAGACGACGAAATTCAAGAAGCCATGGATTCCGTGTCTTTTCAGTATTATGCACCTCCTGCTGCTGCTGCTGAAAACAACAACAACAACAACAACAACAACAACAACACTAGTCCACCACCAATATTCACCATCAAACGAGACGTCTGCACGTTGTCCACCAAAGAATCGGGTGAAAAACTGGCCGTGTCCTTTGCACTCGCGAAAAGCTCCTTGTTGAGTCTCTACGAACTCCGCGTACAACAAGTCATTGAACGCAATTCACATTTGCCCGAAGAAATGGTCCAAAAGGGCCGGGTCCACATGTCCACACACGATCTGACGCGCGAAATTGGACGATTGTTTCTCGTCAAACACGGCATCAATTTGGATCAAAGTTTGATTGATACCCCGGAAGAATTCTGGGAAGACGATCGCTTTGAATCGACCTATGACACCACTCTCAAATACTTTAAAATCACCAAGCGATTGGATCTCGTCAATGAACGACTTGATATGGTCGGGGAATTGCACAACAAAATCCTGGAAGAGAATCATACACATCATGCCGTGGTGTTGGAGTGGATCATTATCATATTGATTGTCATGGAGGTACTCATCGAGGCACTGGTGTTAGTTTATGAAAAGTCTTGAAATTGTTTGAAATAACGTTAGTTATAAGTCTAGCTAGCTATAGTAATTTTATGTTGCATGCTTTGTGATTGATTATCAGCTACCAGTGGTATGCCCGGTACCGGTAGCTACGGGTATTAGTTAGGGCTGGGAGAAGGCCTTGGATCACCAGCAGCTTTTGGTGGCTTCATGCTGGCTTACCACTTTCCTAGTCCTATCCTTATACCTGCGGGGACCCAACGGGGAACCATGCCAATGGGAAACGGCGGTTTTACGGAATGAATACTGTACGTCGATCGTGAGAGCTCTGGCAGCAAACAGCAAGACTGCATCCGACTAAACGCCGTTCGATGAATCACTGCTACACTGCAGATAATATATTATTACATAGAGCAAGGAAAGGCCAACAACAATATACAGACAGGACTAGCTAGTAATTGGCAATGGTGTTATTCTGAGGCACCGCTACGGTACGGTATCGATAAAGACCGTTAGTCTAGCTAGTCTAGTTGCTGGCGTTATGACTCCCATGGGCCGTCTACCCCATGAGACCAACGGCGTCCAAGTAGAAGGGCCAGGGCCAGGGCAAGGGCAGCCCCTCATCAGAAGGAGACGGCACCGTTCCGAGAACAGCAGCCACACCAGTGTGCATACTAGCAGTGAAGAGAACAACAATGTGCCTCCAGAAAGAAGAGGCTTAATGCATTCGTTAAGCATGGCTCGACTGCGACGGCCAGGGGGAGGATTGCAGCGGGCCGAGTCCACTATTGCGCATTCCGAAGTTGCCAGCCGTATTGCCCGAGAAGCCAGGTTTATGGATGGACTCCGCCTCAAGGCTCCCTATGAACCCGACGAAGAAGTCTGCGGTGATTGCGGGAAGGTCGAGTGCAAGTGTGAACCAGAGAGTGACGATGAATCCGAGGAAGAAGAACTGCCAAAGAATTGGCTTGAGCAAATGATACACAACATCCGGCTCAAAACAGACGTTGTTCGATACTACTCTGGCCGCATCGTCAATGACCAAGGCTTCCAAATATTCATTGTCATTCTCATTCTACTCAACTCACTCTTTATTGGGTTGGCAACCTTCGATTTTGTCGAAGACAACGAAAATGCCTATCGGGCATTCAGAATTGTCGACTTGGCATTCCTCATCATATTCACCATCGAATTGCTCATGCAATTCCTGTATCATGGATATGGCCTTTTCTTCGATGGATGGTTGATGTTCGATCTATTTATTGTCATTACCAGTTGGACACTCGAGTCGGTATCCGTCCTAAGGGCGCTCAAGTTACGGTCCTTTCGCATCTTTCGGGCGTTTCGACTCACCACCAAAATTAGAGCTCTCAGGCGGCTCGTAGAGGTACGTGAGCAATACTATATTAAGGACTTGATCATCGGCTCCCCCGTCGGCTATTCATTCTGACACGTTTTCTTCGTATTCTTCGCACCCTTTCCGATCACTTAATACTTACTTCCACAGGCAATCTTTGATGTCTTGCCACGGATTTCTGCCATTATCTGCATGTTCTGCCTTATCATTTATATATTTGGCGTCATGTGTACAGAGCTCTTTGGAGAGATTGACTTTACCGATCGATTCCAGGAACCACTAGCTGGGACCTACAGCTACTTTGGTCGACTAGATGACGCCCTGTTCACACTCTTTGCCATGGTCACACTCGACTGGGCAAGGGTAACACGAGCCGTCATGCAGGTCTATCCGTGGGCATCCTACCTTTTCTCCACGTATGTGACCTTTTCATCCTTCATCTTGTACAATCTCATTATTGCCGTTGTATGCGATGCCGTCAAAATGGTGCAAGACCAACAAGATATTCTCATGGTGGAAAACTACGTCAAGGACAAAATCGAATCACGCCATCGAATCATCAATCTGCGTCAAAAGCTAGACAAAATGTCAAAACAACAAATGGATCTTTTGCTCTATGTGCAACTCTTGCTAGACCAAGTCGATGATGTTGGTGAGGCGTCAAAGCAACATTACGAGGAGGCACTCTTGCAGCTCAGTCAGACCAATACGAATGCCAGGGACGCATTGAAGCAGGCAATCCAACAACTCAATCGGTTTGAACGGTTGGCGGGATTGGACGACCTGTCATGGCAAAGCCAGTCCGAAACAGATGGTCCGACAACATCATCAACCACCACCCAAAATCAGTTGCAACATTTACAAATGGAGGAACGACAGGTGCCGAAAAGCCAAAACAATTCCCAAACAGACGACGAGCCAAAGCAAGGCAATCCCCGTGAAGTCAAGCCGACAAGGGCACGGCCAAGCCGTGCGAAAAGCAGTGACTATTTTGCGTGGGCAAAGCCGACAAGGGCGAGGCCGAACCGTGCGAAAAGCACCAACATTGTCGAGGCGGCAAAGCCTACAAGGGCACGACCAAGCCGGTTTCGCAGCACTGACAATGTCGAGTCGACGACAAAGCCTACACCGCAGTTTCCTCAGTTACCCAAGAGAGTCCCAAGAAGCCGGAGAGTCTCATTCATGGACACAAAAGCTCGCAGTAGTGTCCGAAAATCTCAAAAAGAGGCAGTGTCTGAATTCGCTGAGCACCCCAATACTCTTTACGAGGATGACACGGAACAAATTGGTTCGTCGCACTACAGGACTCCATTTAACGAGGGCGACGGATTGGAAAATGATGAGTCCTTTCACAGCTGCCGTGTGATGCCGCCAGAGGCCGAAACAGCGGATGACCAAGACCTGCATTCCTGACGGACGTGTTCGGCAGATGTCTCCTTTGGTTGACGGATCTGGTATTCGGGTCTATTGGTTGTCAGGCTTGGGCAAAATCTCGCCTCCTGCCGATACCGAAATATCTGGGTACTGAAGCTCCTCGTGCGAGACTGGCTCTACGAGCTGTAGTCGACGCAATACTGGCGTACAATCGCTACCCAATCTACCGGTCCTTGTCGAAGACGTTACCCATTGATGCGGTCCTACAACTGCTGATTACCAAGGAAACGCCACTGACGAGTCCTCTTCAAGTCGATCCATTCCGCAGGTAGAGGAAGGATCGATCGATTGCTATGGAGCAAGGCTCCAGTCCTGATTCCGGCCTGAACGCACGTCGTTACGAACACACAGAGGAGTGGATTCTCCCTATCGAATTCATCCCCCCCTTGTTATTTCCCAGCGTTTGGTTGGTGATTCCTGTGTCGATACTCATTCCCTGTGTGAATGGTGAGCGAGTGCAGCTGAACGTGAGCAAGTGGGCAGAGAGTGACATGCCTTGGCTACAATCGACACTGCTGGAACTATAGCTGGCTGGATTGGCAGTATTTGGTCGCACGTTACGACGTCCGAAGGTGAGGCAAGCGAGCGCAGAGAGCGCCGCCGAACCTGGGTGGGATCGATCGACTACTACGGAGCAAGGCTCTGTAACTCCAGTCCTATCTCCAGCTTGCACAAACATCGTGGAGTGACGAGTCCATGATAGCAATAGGTGGTTACGCAGCATT